ATTAGGAATTGATTCATAGTTTTTAATTAGTTGTTCGACTGATTTTTTTACTTATAATTGTATCAAAAGTTTTATAGCTGGAAATTTCATTCTGCATTTCTCCATTGTTTCCTTTTCAGATTTAATTCATGAAGTTTTTCAGTCAGTCATATTAAAAAAACATCGTGTCATCATGTTATGTATTACGGCAACTGTTAAATACAATACAAAAGCATCCTCCAGAAATAGCCATAGCGCTGGATAATCCAGTGTGTGACTACATGAATTTAATGAAAATACATGAAACATAAACTGAATCGTATATATTACTTAAACGTTGTTCCAGGACAAATTATTTATCAGTTTATTAAACAAAGTTTTGAAATGATATGTGGTTTACTTGGTATTATCTGTGCTGGTCATGTACACTGTACATTAAATTCAACAGATCTACTTGAACGTATTGCTTCGGTTCTCGGTCAAATACATATATGTAATGCTTGAAACCTGAATTCAAGTATTCAATTATTCAAATTTTAACTTCTCAAGTGTTCTGCGGATATTCAGTAGAGAAGCACGTTTTCCCACCTAACACACTTTTTATTTCAGCGTCGTAACGTGAGGGCGCGAAGCACTCTCCGAAGAGTCGCGATCCACACACGTTTCTATGTACATCGTTATTCCTACTCAGTACTACACAATAGCTCAAGCTTCTCACATACTTCCTGTAGTATCCTGGAGGGTGCTGGTTGCATCACAGACAATACCTGTCGATATTCGATGATTCTGGTGGTAGTTCAGTCGTCTACTAATTGAACAAGTAAATAGTTGAATACATGCATAGTTGAATTCAACTTTCGTTTCATACTATTCCGTACAACTGGACAACAAAAGACAGTTGTTCATACTCATAGATGTTTTTGTGGCAAATACTGCCGCTATTCTTCACTGGTGTCTTGGCTTGTATACGTTTCGCGATCAAATTCTTCAGGTTGAAGTCTATTCATAGATTTTATACCTGACAAAAATATTAATGTCACTGGTCGTTTATGGTACTCTTGTATTTCCACCATTAGGTGAACATTTGGATATGGGTTATTGTTAACGTACCTCACACTTATACCAGCAAGTAATAACATTTGCAATAGGTCTCGAAACAATTCGAGCTCTCACAAATTATCTTAGAATGAGGTAAAGATTTGAAATATTCAAGATTGTCTGCAATTTGTGCATAACAGATGATTGTGAATTTTTTATTTAGTTAAGGAATAGTTTATGTTTCTTACTTATTGTCATATATAGCCCTGGAAAGCAAAAGTTAGACACTATGTTTAACCTCTTTTTACACTCGAAAAGAACATTTCGAAAAAAGTAATTATACCATTCGATAGCGCTTGAAATTCTCTACCAGTCTGTGTATTTGTATTTTAGTTTGCGCTTGAATATTATGAAAATAAATTGAGTATAATGAAGGCACCTCCATGTCCACATTCCCACAGACTGGATTTTGTCACTGGCATAGAAAATAGTTTTTTTAATTTTTTATCACTATAAAATTATCTTTTTAAAAAAGTAAATTATATATTCTGATAGAGCTTGAAATTCTCTATCATCCCATCTGTTTATGTATTGCTTTGCATTTGTCTGTTAAAAAATTATTTGAATACAATGAAGAAATTTCAATTGACAATTTCGAAGACACGCTGATTTTTTTTGCTACTT